CACTCATTGTTCCTTTAGAGAAAGAGCTGGCAGCTCCCAAACCCTTTCACGGAAGCCTGTGGGAAGAGGGGAGACCCAGGGAGGCTCTGTGCCTGCTGAGGGGGGACCCCACGCGGCTCCTTGGAGTTATGTCTCTTGATGAGATTCCTTTCAGTAGAACATGTCGTTCTTGACACCTCTGGATCCCAACCACCTTAAAGGAGTGCGATACTTTGCTCTGAGTGGCCAAATGCCACAGCACCACTCATTTAAAATTATGTAACCCTGGCATTCCAAAGCCAACATGTGTGGCTGTAAGAACAGACACCGGCTCTGGTGGGAGGTGGGAGCTCCAGACAGCACTCAGTCTCAAAAAGCATCCTATCAGTCTCAGCTTGAGAGGTTAGCCCGGCAAGTCCTGTTTACAGGACCTAACAATTAAAAACCACACACACAACTGCACATTGTTCAGTCTCGGCACAAAGGCCAGCTCTCGGCACACAGCACTCTTCCAATTCCGCATCCTTATGGCTCCCACTGTGCAGACCAGCAGAGAGGGAGTTTTATTTTAAGGCAGCAAAGTGCAAAGTAAGAGACAATGGTCAGAAATTTCCGTAGAAATATCTGTGCAGCTGATGAGGGAAAGCCCTTTTCCAATTCTAATGACAATTGCGTAACTTTTAGAGTGCGCGTTCCGCCAAGAACATCTTTTCTTAGGGCTGATACAGGTGCCAAAGTCCTCTGTGCGAGAGGGCTAATGTGTGTGGGGTTCAGGAGGCAAAATACACTAACATGATGTGGTTCTTGTAAGATATCGAGGGACAAAGTCACTTCACTGTGCGAGACATAGGAACATGGAACTTTGGTTACAGATCATTTTGTCCAAATTTAAAATGCAGAGATGAAGCAGTTGAGACCCACAATGATTAGCCCAAGTTTGCACAGGTAGTTAATGGCTGAGCAGCATCCAGAACTTCCTTTCTCTGACCAATTCCATGCAGATGTGTAACCTCCCTCTGCAGGTGGCACACCAGGAGCCTCTCCATTCCAGCGCCTGCAGGATGCGGTCACAGCCAGTCTTAGAGGAAAGGGGAAGGGAGGCAGCAGGCAAGAGCTTTCTGCTGCAGCCCTGCCAGGAACTGGTAGTCAGTGAGACTCTTCATTGAAGTATTTTATAAACAGTAAGTTATGGGTTGGAGCAACTGTTAAAAAGTGGACATTTTATCTCTTAATAAGATGAAAAAGCTGTGGACAATATACTAAGCACAAGCAGACATTTAACTATTCCTGAGATGCAATTCCAGGAAAATTTGTCCAGTCAGGAGAAATCAGCTTAGAATTTGTGGAATATCTCTTATAATGCGATTGTTAGAAACAAATTAGAAGGGAACGCAATGAATAAGCGACTATTGCTCTTGTTGCCCTAGTCCAGTGATGGCGAACCTATGACACGCGTGTCAGAGGTGACACGCGAACTCATTTTTTTGGTTGATTTTTCTTTGTTAAATGGCATTTAGATATATAAAATAAATATCAAAACTATAAGTCTTTGTTTTACTATGGTTGCAAATATCAAAAAATTTCTATATGTGACACAGCACCAGAGTTAAGTTAGGGTTTTTCAAACTGGTGACACGCCGTGCTCAAAAGGTTTGCCATCATTGCGCCTAGTCCGTACCCTGTGCTCTGTGCTCTGAGAAAGTGAATTCCAGCTGATCTGACAGGCACAGGGGTGGGTGAAGTGGCTGCAGCCTCTGGGGCCGGCCTTTCAGGAACATGGACAATGCTGGCTACAGAGCCCCACTTCCAAATGGCTTCCCAAGCCCCAGAAGTTGGTTAGAGAGTCTCTTGCTGGCATTGATGGATTTCTCCTCCTCTGACAGTTCACAGGAAAGGGTGTAAGTGTAAAGAATTAAATGATTCATTCCAAACCTGTGACGGGCTCAAGTACTCCCGCTCTGATGCACTTCTGTGGCGGTGCCTGGGCTGCCCGGTGCAACGAGGTCATTTTGTCGGGCACACAAAGGGTTCCGGGCAGCACACACCATGTACCGCGCTATTCATCGCATTCATTCCTCCTGGCTGCCCACGGGTAACAATGAACCTTCTCAGCATTACAGGGGCTCACTACAGAGCGGGCTGGGCTAGCCGCCTTTCAGTGGAACCCCCTGAGGCACACAATGCATTTATTGTAACGTCCTGGCCCTAAGAAGGGCCTGGGAACAGCCTGGAGTGGTCCATAATTAAGTGCATTTAATAATAAAGGCACACACTTCTTAGTTATTGCAAGAAGTGAAAATAAAAGCCTTCACCTTCTCGTTCTCCACTCCCCTCTCCCATCATCCTTCCCTTTTAGAAATCAGAAAAGCGCGGAATTATTGTGTTTTTGCTGTTGTTGTTTTTGGTTTGTTTGTTTGTTTTAAAATAATAATTGCAAAGGATGTCTGGCCAGTGGGGAAAGGTAAATTAAATTACTTGCCAACATTCTTTCCATGTTAAAAAAAAAAAAAGCTGTGCTTACTCTTGCACATGTGGAAGATTTGTTACAAGGCTGTTCTATCGGGTGCTCTTGGTTGGATTTCTAAAGCCTTTCAGGGGCTGTGACCCTTTGGCAGAGGGGTGCCCCTGGGGGCTAGGCTGCCCCTTGGGTGGGAACATCCTCCCTTTGCCGCGGTGCCCAGGAAGGAGTGGCTGGAAGTGCTGCCAGCAGTGTCCCATGCCCTCAGTCCCCCCCCCCACCCCCCCCCAGTGCCTGGATATGTGCAGGCAGTTTCTGAGTACCAAGGAGAGGAGGGAGCTCTGTGAAATGTGGTCACTTGGCCAGAAGGAGAAGTGCACTGGGAGAAAGAAGAAAAGGCGTAAGAGTTGACGTCTAGGTTTGCGAGAATAAAGAAGCATGAGAGCGACCGGCACCCTCTGGCTCGGCCCCGCCTGACAGTGAGCATGGTCTATGTCCTTGAACTTCTCTAAGCCTCAGTTTCCTTCTTTGAGGATTTTAGTAGTGCAACGAATAGTCAATAGTCTACTACTGTGAATCTTGGGGAAGTGACTCAAGTTCCTGAGCCTCAGTTTTCTTATCTGTAAAATGAGGTAAAAAGTACTTACTTTGCATGCATTGCTGTGAGGATTGACTGAAATAACATATGCAATCACTTAACATACCTGGTGCCCAGAAAGTAAATGCTAGCTGCTGTTGTTCTTACTCTTATCGTTGTTAATGTGGTTACATTTTTATGTGTTTTTTTTTTTTAATTGATATTTTAGTGAGAGGAAGGGAGGAGAGAAAGAGAGAAACATCGATGAGAAGGAAACATCAACATCTACTGGATGCCTCCTGCACGCCCCCTGCTGGAGATTGAGCTCACAGCCCTGGAATGTGCCCTGACTGGGAATTCAGGCAGTGACCTCTTGGTGCATGGGCTGATGCTCAACCATTAAGCAACACTGGCTGGGCTGTAACCACATTTTTAAAGGTACTTACTTCATTGCAACTGTTTGCATCATTGGATGATTCAACACACAGGGCAGGCTCTGGTTAGGAAAACAAGACATGCCTTGCAAACTCATTGGCAATAGTGTATTGGAAATCCGATTGCTTTTATTTCTTTGACAGCTGATAGGGAGATGGGGTGGTGGAACAAATGGGTGTTATCTTTTCACATTTCCTCTAATTAATGACAATGAAATGAATCTGTACAATGTCACTACTATATGTGAGTGAATTAGGTAACATTATTAGCAAGGCTAGTTTTTCCCACTTGAAAGAAGGCAAACACTGGTGCCCCAGTGTTTCTGACTTTACCATCAGTGGCGAAGAGGAACTTTTTATTATATGGTTGGAGATACTGAGTTCTGCTGAAGCATTTGCTTTTAAACTAACTGACATTGAGCCTATTGATAAATAAAGGTCAGCCCAAGACAGGGTGGGAGTAAGGTATACTTTGAAAGAAAAAGAATGAAGCTTGAACAGGGTATTTTTTTAACAGCTAAAGAAATTTCCAGTTATCATTCAGTTCAAACATACTGCCGTGCTTTTACTTTAAGTAAAAACATAAGCATTTGTTATTTTGAGCACTGCATTTTGGAAACCAAGCGGGAATAGTGTGAAACTTCTGAGAAGCAGTAGAAGAACAAGAAGAAAAGGAACTCCATGCCAGACATCCTCATCCTTCCACTCCCGGCCCCCCAGAGAATAGGGCATTTGCTCTTTATTACTTCAAGAACCTTTAAAAAGTCACGTGGGAAAGGAAGCAATCCAAGGATCTTTTGATTCCTTTTGGTTTTGGCCAAGAAAATGGAATTACTGAGAAAATCCAACCTTTTATAAAATGCTGCTGTTAGAAGAACTTTTCAGTGGGTTTAATACTATCACATCATTGTCGGGCAACACAAAGTGGGGAGAAAATAAAAATAATTTTTGGGCCCTAGCTGGTTTGGCTCACTGGATGGAGTGTCGGCCTGCGGACTGAAGGGTCCCAGGTTCGATTCCGGTCAAGGGCATGTACCTTGGTTGCGGGCACATCTCTAGTTGGGGGTGTGCAGCAGGCAGCTGATTGATGCTTCTCTTTCATTCATGTTTCTAACTTTCTATCCCTCTCCCTTCCTCTCTGTAAAAAAATCCATAAAATATATTTAAAAAAAATAATTTTTGGGCAGGAACCAGTTGGGTGGGTTTGTACAGACTTGTATCTCAGTGTCAGAATGTGGCATCGGGGCTTCGCAATGAGGTCACTTTTGTTATCTTAGGTGACATGATGATGTGTTAAGGCAAAGCTAGGTATTCTCCATCCCTCAGGTTTTTGGAAATGGACTAAGCACCATGGTTGTCAAACCACCTTCCTTTCACCCTCACCTTTTATAAAATGCAGCTCAACTTGCTTCCTCTAATTATTTGTAAACCTGTCAATGGTTGTAGATTTCCATGTACAAGCATCCCTCTGGATACATTTCTGAATTCTGGTTACTGGGCATGTGTAGGAAGAGCCAGGGATGTCAGAATTATCCAGTCATTGCATGGGTTCTCTTTACTGTGCCTGTTTTTCTTCAGAGTACTCTTTATTCCCATCTTATTGCAACTCCCAGGCCTTAGGGTGACAAAGGGCACTTCTTAAACACTGGACAACATGGTGGAGGTGAAGATCTGCTGTAAAATCTGAGGGATGTCCTTGGTATCCATGGCAATGAAAGACCGGCCAGCGGGCAAAGTTCTCTGAAGCCTGCCAGGATGGAAAGGGAGAGGAAATTACCACTGCAAATTGGGGTGCCCCTTCCACCTCCTGCCTCCACAGAGCACAGCATCCAACTGGTTTCTCAGGAATGGATGTCTTTACTTCTTAATACCTTGCCCCTCCCTGCCTGCAACTGAACCCACTGTCACCAGGCAATGAAAGCTTTGGAAGAACAGCAGGGAGAGCACATGGGAGGCCTGGGACATCTGTGATGCTGTCAATTTAAAAAAATGCTGTAAATTAAAAATAAAAAGGAGTGAACTGAAGGAAAGTTCTTTTCAGTGAGAAAATCAGTGAATATTCCCTTGACAGAGCCCTGGAACCAAAGTGAGATTAGCTCACCTGGGTCCAGTGACTGTGTTGGCCTCACTGTATTTCTAAGTGCTTTTCCTACTAGAAACAGGCCTCGAAAAATGCTGCCCAGTAAACCTCGAGTGGTATTCTCCCCGCCCACCACCTCTCTTTTTGCCCCTCACACACATGTGAAATGCAACCTGACTTATGCAATTGCTGCTTTGATGGCACTGAGGTTATACAGGCTTATGATAATTTTTTTAAATGCCAATTTATCATTTGGAACAAAGGGCCATTTCAAAGGCAATAAAAGTGTAAGACACAATTCCATCCGAAAGAAAGCCTCCTTTCACTGTGCCAGCAGATTTTGGTTTTCAAATGACATTTAATAAAAGTCAGCCATCCTGTATAGTATCATACATTTGGCATGCCCGGTAGACCAGCTAATTCTGCAACATATCTGTTGCCAGTAGATGTTGGACCATTTCCCTAGGAAACCACAAGGGTATTATTGTACTTTCTTAAGTATTCAAACAGGATCTGTTCACTAGAAAGACAAAATAGCTATTTCAGCTCAAGCAGCATTTGCTGAGTTTGCTGTCTGCTTAACACTGGGTTGGTCGTGAAGAAAATCTGAGTAGAAAAGACATGGTTTGTGTTCAAGGACATGGAAGTTCTAGAAAAGGCTAACATCCAAAACTGGGAAAAATGCAAAGTAATAAAGTGACTGTAGTTACGTGATATTAAGTCTGTTCTCAACGGAACTGTGCAATCCTGCAGCGTGGAAAAGGGAATATAAAGAGAAAAAAATGCCAGCACTTGGACACTAAAACATTTCCTAGTCCATACAGGACTCTAAACTGGAGTATGGCAGGTAAAAGGTGGGATAGCAGAGGCACATGGCCTTTTGAGTTTTAGGCAGGAATTATTTTTTGGTGGAGGAGGAGGTATACTTTCACTTGTGTTTTCTGCTTTTTAAAGTATTTTAAGCAGATAAAAAAACATGAGCTCTTTCTGTTTGTAATTCAAAAGGAGAAATGTTAGTGTGTTTAAGTCATTGAAAGTGCTTCCAGATCTCTGCCTTCAGAGCATCCACAATGGTGCTTATTGTCTGACCATCAGTTCCTCTACTGAACACTCAGTATATTCAGTACAGCATCTTCCTCTAAACACTGCCTTACATTGTCTCCAAGTGTTTCCCCTGCCTCCTCTCCCCAGCAAGGGAGGCACATGCATCTCTCTGTGTGTGTATGTATGTGTGTCTATGTAAATGTATGTTATATACACACACAAATTATATGCTACTTACATATGTTTGCATATGTCTATATACATTGTATAGACATACACAATCTCTCTCTCATGCTATGAAAATAGTAGGTGTTTGCTACTTTGAGTAAGTTTTGAACATGAACTGATTAGAACTGAGCTTGGGACTTAGATGTACAGTACAAAATGTGTAAGAGACTATTAAATTTACTAGACAAATCAATTTGCTATTTATGTCATTGTTGGTAAGTTTAAATATAAGCTGAAAAATAATTAATTTAAAATTACTGTTGCTCATCCAAACAGAAGCTTGAATGTCATATCCTCTCAACTAGACCATCAGCTCCTTCAGGGGCGACTCTGGTGTCTGTTTTCCTCCAGTCCCACTGCCCCTCAAGGTGCTAAGCCCAGGAAATGCCCTACCTTAGGGACCCAACTATCTCTGTGCCTGCCCCAAGTATGTCTCCATCCAGAGGCAACACTTACCTGGCTGCTTGATCACCTAAAGATCCAATAAAGATGGCAAAAGCATTAACTTGAGGGTTGCTTGTCAGGATTTCGGCAAACTTGGCAGGATGTATCCCATATCGGGACAGGTTCGCATCACTCAAGACGATGACGAAGTACTCATCAGCTTCTTCTCTGACAATTTCCTGGATGGCATGCTTTGTCCCCTCTAAAGTGTGGTCCCCACTCATGCAGAACTGAGCATGGGCATGCATCGTCTGGGGATAGGAGATGTTGCACAAAAGCCATGGATGAGAAGCCTCTTTTTAACAAACCTGATTTTTCTACTGATCATAAATATTCATAAATAGCGATTACTACACGAGAATAAGAAGTCTCGAGTGAGTTCTCTTTAACTGGCACTGTGGAGTGACAACAGCGCCCAGTAATATTTGTATGTGGTTCAGATTTTTGTTAGAAATAGGAAATGCTCTGAAACAATCCCAGTTGGCATTTAGTTTTTAAAATTTAGCCATTTAAAGTGAGAAAAAGGTGGATTGGGGGAGAAGGGGGTCCTAATATGAGGTGACAGAAGACTTGACTTTGGGGGGTGGGCACGTGGTGCTCTATACAGATTTTGTAACTTAGAAATCCACACATGAAACCTATATGTTCATGTTGACCAATGTCACCCCAATAAAATTTAATAAAATAAAAAAAAATAAAGAAAAGTGTAAGAAAATATAAAACTTGGTATCACACTGGAGGATGAACACAGGAGAAAAATAAGGAATGGGTAGAGTTTCTAATAAACAAAGTTATAATATGAAACAATGTACTTACATCAATAGCAATAGAGGGAATTTACATTAAAATCATGGTGTGTGTTTCTATTGTAGATCTAAGTATGTAAAACTAAATTTATCATTAAATACTAAGAAATACATAAAATTAGGGTTACAGAGTATATTATAAGAAGTCATTTTTCTCCTTCTACTGAAATATTTAGGGGCTGGGAAGAATTGCATAGGAGATAGGAGGTGACCCTGGTTGGAGAATCCTGACACAGTACTGAGTACCTGAAAAGTATGTAGGGAATGAAGTTTAAATTTGTTGTGGTGGAGAAAAGGATTTTAGGCATGAGTATTTTCTTAGTTTGAATATTTGTGAGACAGAAAGTCTTCCCTGAATCTGCTGCTTCTTCAGGGAATTTTTGCAGTGACAAAAGATACTTTGCCTAATCTGGTGGGAGCTTTCACAGCATAGCGGCAACGATGTATTTACCTTCAGAATTTCTAGTCTTTGCTTATTGTCCTTGGGGATTTTGTTCATTGGAACCAGATCAATGTTGTAGCCGTCTCCAGAGTGTCCAGCGATGTCATACTACAGGCAAGAGAATCGGAGAGTGAGAAGCCTCTGTCCACGATGGAACTGCCATTGGACCTATAAGCCCCACTCTCCTGTCGGTTATTGCCCAGAATTGCGGAGAGCGGATATGTATTTACCAGCCAAGGCAACACAGCCCAGGTCCTCCACTCTGGTCCATCCTCTTGTGTGATCTCTGCTTTCCAGCAGGAGGCAGAAGATGCTACTAAGAATTCCATTCTTTACTTTCAGGGAGAGTTAAAAAAAATTCACACACACACACACACACACACACACACACACACACACACTGTCGCAGGTATAATTCTGAGGTGGCTCTTAGATTCCTGCCCCCTATTAGACAGCCTGCGAATATCACTCATGTTACCTTATGAGGCAAAAGGGATTTTGCAGATTTAATTAAGGTTACTTATCAGTTGATTTTGAGTTGATCAAAAGGGAGATGACCTAGCTGGGCCTAATCGAATATTATGAGCCCTTTAAAAGCAGAGGTTTTTTTTTCTGCTGGTAATGGAACAGAAAGATAGAAAGATTTGAAGCAGAGGGTGACTTGACATGTGGGAGTTGTCTGTGGCTGAAATGGCAGGGACCATGGAGCAAGGCCCTAAAAGTGGCATTTAGGAGCAACCCTGGCTGAGAGCCAGCAAGACAGGGACCATAGTCTTATAACCACAGGGAACCAAATGTTGCCAACAACCTAAATGGTCTTGGAAGCAGATTCTTCCCCAGAGCCTCCAGGTAACAGCCAAGCCTGCCTGGCACCCTGATTTCAGCCCAATGAGACCCCAAGCAGAGAAGAAAGATCAACCTGCTGGACTTCTAACCAACTGTTAGTTAATAAATGGATCTTGCTTTAAACTGTTGTTTGTGGTGATTTGTTACACAGCAATAGCAAACTAATACGAATGCTCTTTTTTTCTGAACACAAATTGAAACATATTCATTGTACAAATGACAGAAAAGAACAAAAAGGAAGTAAAAATTACCCATAATCTCATTACTTAAAGATAACTTCTGTTACTGTTTTGTTGTATAAAATCCTAGGCTTGCACATTCACACATACACACATTTACATCGACATAATTTTTAACCAAAATGGGTAACATTGCCCATGTGATTTTATAACCCACTTTTCAACTTGACAGTGTATAACATATATTTTTCAATTTAGAAAATACCTTTAAAATTCTCTAACTTACAATGTGCAGGAGAAAGTCCTGTCTGATGAGAAGAGACTAGAGCTGAGGGTGAGGTGCTGCCTTTCACAGAATCTGGAAAGAAGTGGGGCCTGAGGCAGACTAAACTTGGGCAAGAGTTCCCTCTGACTGCTGAGTGTGCCTCAAATTCCCTCCTCCCTTCCCACTAAGAATTTTTGTGATGTTGATATGACTAAAACTCAGGGTATCTGGGCAATTGGGGCATCTGCAAAGAAAATTCTGAGTGTGAGTCTGGGGCAAAGATTCCAGGGAGTACTTGGAGTACTATGACACAAAATGCTTAAGAATCACTACTTCTGTTTACCAACTGCATTAATCAACAGCTGTCTTTGGAACTCCTACTATATGTAACACACTTCTGTAGGTGTGTGGGGGAATGCAACTATCTCTTTACATGTCTTCCTTTTTAACTGGTGAGTTCTTGGAAGGTGAGCCCGTATCTTATTCACCTTTGAATTTCAGCATCCATGAGTGTATCTGGTGTGCCTACTGCACAAATGCTTTAAAAATGTCTGCAATCAAGTTGAGGCAATAGGGAAATTCCCTTTCCTGTGTGAGCTACATTCTTTTTACAAATAAACTGTTTATAAGTTGGAATATATCCGCCTCCCCCCGCGCCCCCCGCACGAGCAATCATGTAAAAAATGGTGGTTAGCTCAAGCTAGCTGACAAAAAACAACCCATAATGTAACTGAAACCATTGTGTTTAAAATGAAAAGTAGAAAAAAAATTCCCATTGAAATAATTTTTATGTATAAATGGGAAGTCAGAAGGTGATTAGGTTATTGGGGAAGATGGATTCCATTTCAGACATGCTGAAATCATGCATTTGGGGAGGCATCAGAGAGGAAATCTATTTAATGCATTCAGAGATGTGGCTGTCTCCCCGGGAGGGAGACACATGACTGCCAAGGGTGACTATACAGAAAGAGAAGAGCAGTGGGCCCTTCCCCGGAAACCTGGGGAGCATCCTCCCTGGTGGAGTGGAAGAAAGACTCAGAGCTGAGTGAGAGTGGAGGGAGCAGGGCCAGAGCAGGCCATAGCCTGGGACACGGGAGTGCAGGGTTTCGGGAAGTGGTTGTGCAATGGCACTGGGTTACACTAACCATGCCATCAAGGAGAGATGACTAATGACTCTGGGCACCAGAATCAATGGTGACTTTTGGGGGACAACTTCAATAAAAGGTTGTTGTATAAAAAGAGAATTAGAGCAGCACATGGAGGGCTGTTGGGGGAGAGGTGTTTGTTTCACAGGCCCAGAGTGGAGGAATTAGAAGGAGGTCAGGTTCATAGTCAGAGGGTCGTTTGGAAAAGGAGGAAGGATACTCCTTTTTCTGAGAGTAAAAGGGAGGCAGAGAGAACAGGAATAGACAAGATAAATGCACAATTGGAAAGGACAATGAAGGCCCATATAGGATGCATAAATATTTGGGCTGTAATAAATCTATACTAATAAAAGGGTAATATGCTAATCAGACAGGACATCATCTGGACATCTATCCGGATGTTCTTCCAGACAAAGTCACGGTGGTGGGGGCTGAGGCAGAGGTGGTTAGGGGCGACCAGGCAGGCAGGGGCAGTTAGGGGCATCAGGCAGGCAAGCAGAGGCAGTTAGGGGCCATCAGGCAGGCAGGGGGCAGTTAGGGGCATCAGGCAGGCAGGCAGGTGAGCAGTTAGGAGCCAGTGGTCCCTGATTGCAAAGATCAGGCCTAAATTGGCAGTAGGACATCCCCTGAGGGGTCCCGGATTGGAGAGGGTGCAGGCTGGGCTGAGGGACACCCCCCATCCATGAATTTTGTGCACTGGGCTTCTAGTATCTACACTAATAAAAGAGAAACATGCAAATTGGTGTCACTCAGCTACGCCCACCAGCCAATCAGATGAGTATGCAAATTAACCCAACAAAGATGACAGTTAATTTGCATACACAGGCGCGGAGCGAAAACTGAAGGCTCTGGCTCTGAGTGAAGAGTGAAGACTGAAGACTGAAGACTGAAGACTGAAGACTGAAGAGGCTTGGCTTCTCTGCTGAGGCCGCAGCGCAGGAGGGGAGAAGCCAAGCCTCGCTGTGGCGGCAGCGGAGAAGCCAAGCGGCCACGGAGCTGGAGGCTTCAGTTGCCCCCAGCAATGGAGGAAGCCAAGCTTCCTGCCCACCCTGGCTGCCGCTCAAGGGAGAGAACAACATGCAGGCGCGGCCAGGAGCCTGAGAGATCAACACAGAGGGGTGCTGCTCCAAGCCTCCACGGTGTGGCTGGGGGCAGGCCCCAGCGGGGACACACACACACACACACACGCATGGCGGCTGCTCCGAGCCTCTACTGCCAGACTGTGGATCCCCTGTGGGGAGCGGGCCTAAGCCGTCAGCAGGACATCCACTGAGGGCTCCTGACTGTGAGAGGGGGCAGGCTGGGCTGGGGGACCCCCACCCCCCTGTGCATGAATTTCGTGCACAGGCCTCTAGTATATATATAATGGCCTGGAAAGCTAGGGTCAATATTTGGACTCCTTGAAGTTCTCTGAAAGAACATCATGGTATGGGCAGTGCAAGGCCCTGGCTTGCAGCCAATCACCTTTTCTTTCTACAGTTGACTCTGTCCCACATCACAAGGCACTTCCCCTGCACCATGTGGACATCCAGCCCTCCTATCCACACACCATCACCCGCCCCCCTCCCCCCCATACAGTGGTCCACTGGCCATCCATCAAACCTGGTGCTCACACCATTGGTCAGTGTGCCCGAGGAAGATGGACCTGAGGAGAGATGGAAGAGGTCCACATAGGCCCTGGAAGCAGGATAGCCGGGATTCCAGGAACCATGAGCCTGATTTAGAAATTAGCTCTCAGTGGGCATGTCCCCTTGGCTGCACAGACTCTTCACCTCACTGGAGGGGCATGGTCAGAGCAGGCCCAGAGTGGAGCCTTGGACAGGGGGCTGGGAGATTATTCCTTGCCTGGTTTTAAAAAATATTTTTTAACACAAAGAATGATACAAAATAATTATGAGGGAAATTTACCAATATACAAGGTGTCCCACCAAAATGTATACACACCTTAGCAGCTGATAGCTCAATTTTGAAAAGGAAATGTATTTTTAAAAATACATTTTTATTGATTTCAGAGAGGAAGGGAGAGGGAGAGAGATAGAAACATCAATGATGAGAATAATCAATCAGCTGCCTCCTGCATGCCCCCTACTGGGGATCAAGCCTGCAACCCAGGCATGTGCCCTGACCAGGAATTGAACTGTGACCTCCTGGTTCATAGGTTGATGCTCAACCACTGAGCCACACTGGCCAGGCAATGAAATGTATTTTTAATAAACATTGCCTTATAATTATTGAAAATGTATGTATTATTTTTTTTGGGACACCCTATATTTTAAAAGCTTGACAATAAATACTTTCTAAGGATGCAATAAATTCCATATGTAAAAAAACTATACTATACTCATTAGTATAGTTTGCTATCAATGTATTGAAATGGTAACAAATAAAATTTGAAACTTAAAATCTGTACTGTTCTGGACAAGGGTAGGAGATTACCAGCTTCAGTATATGTCCGCCTAGGGTCTCCCACATGCTCAGAGTGAGGATGTGGAAAGTTTTGGCATGATTCCTCCAGGGAACATGCTCCAGACCCTGAAATGTCTGACTGGACAATAGTCACAGCAGAAGGGGTTTTAGGCCAAGTCCTGCTGAGAAGGTGCCACAGGCTGCTTTCATTGCAGGGCTGGTGAAACAACCTGTTAAACAGGGTTCTACATGAGGGGATAAGTCAGC